CCTGGTCCCTGTCTTAGATCAGCTCAGTTCCAGCTGCTGTTGACATTTGGGGAGTAAATCAGAGGATGGAAGATCTTTCTATCCTTCTTTCCATAAATCTGATCTGCCTTTCCAATAAAAATAAGTAAATTTTTTAAAAAGAAAATGTGATATATACATTCAATGGAATATTATTCAGCCATAAAAAGATGAGCACAGATTTGAGTGATGTCACCAAAAATGTCAGAATAGGACTCTGTGAATGTACATAATTAGCTATAGACAAAGCCCAAATTCTTCAACGTATGATTTACAAGGCCTCTGAAGTTCTATCTCTTATACATATATTATTATACATATATTATGAATTGAACTGAGTACACCAAAATTCCTTTGTTGAAGTCCCCAGTACAGCAGAATGTGTCCTAAGTTAAAATAGTCATTACAGATGTAATTAGTTAAGATGAAGTCATGAGGGTAATACTAATTTCATATCATTGCTATCCTAATAAAAAGGGGAAAGTTTAAACAGAATGGAAGACTCAGTCTGCTTTTTTTATGCTACGCTCACTGTAGATACTAAGTGCATTCAGTTTACTTTCTTAGTAAACTATTATTCAACATGTTATGAAAGGGGGTGTCTTGGAAATTAGAATGAAAACTTTGGCAATCAGAAAGTACCTGATCAATAGGAGAATAGATGAATAGATTTGCAATATCTTTACATCCTAGAATGTTCCGTAAAAGTGAAAATAGATGAAATAGAGTTGTATTTATCAACAAAACTAACTACCATAAAGACAATGCTGAGTGAAGAAAGCAAACTTCAGAAAGAACATCGAGCGATAATATTTATGTAAGGCACTACATACTATTTAGAAATAGACATTTATTTATTAAATTTATATAGATATACATGGAAACAATCAAGAAAAACCTGAGATGGTACAAATTGTGTGATGAAAGACTACACAGGTGGCTTCACTTCAATTGTTTTGGTAATGTTTTATAAAACTGGGTAATTGAAATGTCCTGGTTGTTACATTAGAATAAATATTATTAGCCATTTTAAATACCTCATAATTTGTTTTAAAAGGAATTGCCCAACACTGAGGTATTCTGTCTCTGGTACTGAAGAAAATCCCCCTCTTTTTAAGTTTTTGCTAGTCAGAATTTCTTCTACTGGCAAAGTTGAACAACTCATTGAATCTAGTTATTCATTAGACCGGAGATTACTTACTATACATAGGATGATAATCCATAAATTCTTGTTTGCATTTATGTATAGGATGTGGCTTGAATTAGACTTTTCCTAATATTTTGTGTAAGAATTTGAGTATGGGGCAGGCACTGTGGCATAATAGGCTTAGCATCCTCATGCTCTTTGCCGGCATCTCATATCGGTGCTGGTTTGAGTCCCTGCTGCTCCACTTCTGATCCAGCTCCTTGCTAATGTGTCTGGGAAAGCAATATAAAATGGGCCAAGTTCTTAGGTCTCTGCACCCACATAGGAAACATGGAAGATGCTCCAGGCTCCTGTCTTTGGACCAGCCCAGTTCTGGCCATTGCACCCATTTGGGGAGTGAACCAGGAGATGGAGGATCTCTCTTCCTCTGTCTCTCCTTCTGTCTCTGTAACTTTGCCTTTCCAATAAAAACAAACAAATCTTTGATGAAAGAATTTGCACACTGAACATTGTGGCAGACAAGGAGGATCAAACAGAAATGGACAGTGTTTTCAAAGCTTGTGTTATCCAGCCATTGGCTTGTGTGGTGTGTTTCGTTATTTATGTTGATCTGTCTCCCTTTTTGTAGCTGGCAAGTGAGACTGTCTTAGGGATGAGCAGTCAAACCCTCATGTCCTCTTCAGTGAGGTAGGCTTGGGAGAGGGAGAAACTGTATGCATGGAAATAAGCGAAAATTTAACATCTTGCTCCAGGGAGAAGAGGGTTGGAGTAAACATTTCCTGATGTTATTTCTGGCCAGAAGCCCTTCCAGCTCCTGCCCAGCATTATCTGTAAAGAATGAGAGTAGAGCTTGATGTGAGTTTTCATAGGTCAAGTTTGGCAAGGCTAAAACACATTCAAAATCCAGAACTGATTGGGGGTCCTGAGGGCGGGGCTGACTTGGAAAAGCTCAAAACAATAAAGGGGATTTCTCTGTGAAATGTCTTCTTCACATTTTAGGATAGAAATGGGATATGAGAGATTACAGGATAGAAGAAAATTCTGGATTTTCCAGGTCTCAGATCCTAGAACCTTTACTTTTACTATTTTGAGTGCTAAGTTGGAATGAACTTTTGCCCTTTAAAGATTTTCAGTAATTTTTTTAAAGATCTATTTATTTTATTGGAAAATCAGAAATACAGAGAGGGGGAGATAGACAGAGGAAGATCTTCTGTCCGCTGATTCACTCCCCAGGTGGCCACAATGGCCGAAGCTGCACCAATCAGAAGCCAGGAGCCAGAAACCACCTCTAGGTCTTCCATATGGGTGTAGGGTCCCAAGGTTTTGGGCCATCTTCCACTTCTTTCTCAGGCCACAAGCCGGGAGCTGGACAGGAAGCAGGGCCTCTGGGATTAGAACCGGTGCCCATATGGGATCCCAGCACATTCAAGCGAGGCCCTCAATAATATTTTTATATTATCAAAGCTATATATACTCATTATAGGAAAGCTGAAAAATCCAGAAATGTAGAAGAAAAATGAAATTCACTTAGTTCCACCACCTACAGACTTGTTTCTTTATTGTTTCCATGCATATCCCAATTTCCCCTATTATTGTTATCAGGTTATATCTATCCTACTTTCAATCACTACAGCAAAGCATTCCCTTGTAATTATAAGCTATATGTAAATATCAGTAGGCTGTATAATATTCAGTATATATTGAGCCAATATATATTGATTAATAGAATATTGATGTTATACATAATATATAACACACATTATATAGTTAATTATATATTATTATGTTATATTTTATCACTATAATATTGATGATTAGGCTATAGTTTGCTTAATCATTGAACCATTTCTCTTGGTATTTTAATAATACTAGAGTTAACATAGCTGACCAACAAAAAAAAATAAAACCATTGTGTATCTCTTTTTCTTAAGTATATATCCATTCATTAATTGATTAATACAAATGTTACTGAAGACCTATATATGCTAGGTACTGTTTCAGATTAGATTTCTGCCTTGAGTGGCATGTTGTCCTTTACTGAACTAGGAAATCCTGGGGAAGATGCAGCTTTGGATATATTGCATTTGAAAGGCATTCAAGTAAAAATATCAAGAAAACAGAACTCAATTAAGTGGTCTGGGTAGAATTTTCAAGTTACACTTGTGGCCATATAGATGGTAAAACCAAGTGAGTGAAAGAAGTCATTGAGGGAGGAGTGTATATATCCCAGGTTTGAAAATGTCCACCTTTTAGACATCAGATACCAAAAAGGAGTAAACCAATGAAAGAGACTTAGGAGAGGGCAAAAGAGTGGGAGGAAAAGCAAGAGAACAATGTGAAAGATGCCACTGGAAGATTTTCAAAGAGGAGGAAATTGTTAACACTGTTAAATGTAAAGGAGAGGTCAGGATGGAAGGGACTGACAATACCTTATTTATTTATTTATTTATCTATTTATTTATTTGAGGGTTTTACTGACACAGAGGATGGTTGAGTATTTTGGTGAGCACAGTGGGTGGAAAGAAGCCAGGTTGCTGAGGGTTACAGAATGTATGAGAAATGCGTGAAAATTGCAAATGTACCTATAAGGTGCATTTTTAGTGAATTTGCCCGCCCTCATGTGTACACAAGATACACGTTTCTCTAAGGAAGAATATTTATTTATTGATTTGAAAGTAAGAGTTACAGAGCGAGGGGGAAGAGTGCTTTTATTCACTGATTAACTCCCTAAATGGTCACATTGGCCCATGTTGGGTCTAGCCAAAGCCAAGAACCAGAAATTTCTTCTAGGTCTGTCACATTGTTTGCAGGGGATCAGATACTTAGGCCATTTTCTAGTGCTTTTTCATTAGGAGGGGGCTGCATTGGAAGTGGAGCAGCTGGAACTCAAATTGGTCTCCAAATGAGATGCTGGCGTCACCGGCTGCAGCTTTACCCACTGCGTCACAACCCCAGCCCTGACAGGATACATTATTTTTAAGATAGTACAGACCATGTTTAATTTCTGATGCCAGATGGGAGAGACTTGAGAATGGTAGATTTGAAGAAACAAGGTTGGGGAGGGGGCTGCTGCAATTACTGAACAGATATTAACATTCTACAATCTATTGATATAGCTTATTCAAACGCTTTCAAAAACGTTTTTGAGCAACATACATTCGTACACTTGATCTTAGCCAAAAGGCCGAGGAGCGATGCAACAGACGCTTCTACCAGCAATCATGAGAGTACTTCTTTGGTGGTCACTTTGCAACAATTTTCATTGGAAAAAAAAAAAGAAAGAAAAAGAAACTCTCTTTGCTTACTGTTGTAGTTTGCTCTTCTTTGATTACCAGTGAGTTGGTATTTTAGTTGGTTGTGTTCTTGAAATGCGCATGTGTGAGTTTACTCTGTGTTCTCTGCTAAAACATTTTTGTTGTGGGCAAACTGTCTGCCATAGAAAGCCAAAAGTCAAGGAATCAGAAAGGTATCATATGTTACCTTCCTCATTTGCATATTCAGACTCTATCTTCTTAGAAGCATCTGACAGTTTGACAACTTTTGGCTCAGTTGAACAGGAGGAGGTGATTTTACCATCTCCAGAAAGCCACTACAGATGGTAATAAAGGACGTGGAAAGAGGAGGGGGGAGCACACCTACTCTTGGACCCCTATCTTCAGTCCCCAAGTTCCCTTTTCTAACCTGAGAGGTCATCCCTTAAGTACCTTAAGGTTTTGACTGCCAGAGGTTTTCTTTGAGTTGAACGACCGGACTAAGGAGCGCCAGCGCAGTGCGGCCCCTTTAAGAGCCCAGCTCCTCCCAGCTCCAGGGAAAGTTGCAGCTTTTTCCGCCTGCTGGGAGGGTGAGGAGGGCCGGCCGTTCAGAGGACTTCAGGTCTTCTAGGAGTCGGAGACCCTTCCCTGACTCCGGTCCCGGGACGTGTAGTCTTCTCGTGGCACCTGTTGCTGGTGACAGGTAGGGCTACAGCTAGCGGCTGCCCGCTCCCGCGCTGTCGCTCTGGGACTCCTTTAGACCCCCCAACCCCTCTTCGCTGCTGAAGCGCCCCCACCCCACGTCGGGGACCCGCGCTGTTCCCCACCTCTTCTTTGCTCCCCACGTCTTTGGTGCTTCGTGGCTGACTGCCTGACCCGTGTCCCCTGCTTGCCTCTCTGAACCGCACCCCCACGCCGGGACGCCGTCTGCTTGGGGCGGTTCCTCCTTAGCACTTTTCGTTTTTCACTGGCAACTTCTGACCCACGCGTGGCTAACGCTGACTGTGGCCGTCTGGGCGCTACTCCCTCCTTTGCACCCCTCTTGCAGAGTGCCCAGGCTCTTCCCGCCAGCCGGGAGCCCGGGTTTCTCCCTTAGGGGAGGGGGTGGGGGTAGGATCCAGGCTGGGAAGTACCTTTCCGTGGGTTCTTCTCTCAGCATTCTGCTGTCACTCGGGATCTCTGTCCTGCACTGTCTCCTGACCCCGGACCTCTCGCTGGCTGCCTTGGCCTTGACCCGACCCTTCCCGCCACCGTGAGGTCAGTTGGCCCCCTAGCACTGCCACAGTGGGCTTCTTTTGCGCTTAGGGCCGGGAACTTGACACTCTGGAACTGAGCTACTTTTTTTGGTCTCCTTTCATTGCTTCTTGGCCTTTTGGCTAAGATCAAATGTATTTGTCTCCCTTCAAGCAGGCAAGGTGAGGTTTGCCCTGAAGCAGGGTCTCCAGAACCCTCAGAAGGCATACAGAACACCTGTGTCTCCTGTGATGGTTCTTAAAGAGACATGCAAAGAAAGGTGTTCCTCTAGCCCTCAATATTAGATCAGATTGGGTTCGGGGACTTGAAATCATTTGATTAGAATTCTGGTGGCTTGAGAAAAAAAATCATGTTTTTTTTTTTCATGAAGCAACCAACTTTCCCCAAGCCTCTGCCTCTTCAGGGCCAGAGACCTTAGCATTCCAGAAGAGTTCTTTTGGCAGGTCCAATCCCAGACGTGGTGGACCTGTGAGGCAGAAATTAGTGTTCGGTACATTTAGGACCTCCTGCTTTTAACTGGCTTTTTTTCTGCTCTTTTACCTCCTGGCTCCCACCTCTCATAAATCCATTAATATCAACAAGTTAATGACCTAAAATGTTTACCCACTACTGTCAGCAGTTTAAGCAGAATTGTGGCCCTGATGGTGTTCTGGCTTTCTGTTTAGTTTTTTTTTTTTTTTTTTTTTTTTTTAATCATCAGCAAGAAACCCCAGGAGAAAAAGCCCATGAACTTGACTTGCAAGACTTGTGTATTTTGATAGCAGATGAACATTTTTGGTCACACAATTTCAAGTGCTTCACCCTGGGTCAGACCAGTGAAATGGAGCTTAGAGGCCATTCTGGGTTCTGGAGTAATTGGTGTGTGTGTCGGTGTACCATCCTGCCTGATGCTCTCTAGACTTTCCGTTTAACGGTGGCTAGTGGTATGGTTGTTAGAAAGCACTGAGTTAGGCACTGTGGGGAGTTCTTTCATCCTGTCTTATACAATCCTCGTGATGACTGCAATGCACACTATGGTTATAACCATGTTGGGAGGAAAAGGAGACTCCGAGGTTAGTGCCGCCTTCTAAATATCCAACTGACAGAGTCAGGCAGAGCTTGGGTTCTTATCCTGTCGTACCATGTCTGTAATGTTGGAAGTTAGGAATACTAAATCAATTGTGGGCAAAGACTACCTTGTTAAGAAACTTCCCTCCCAAGCTGAGGTATATCTGGGTCCTTGATTTCACTTCAGATACACTGCAAATACTAAGGACCACTTTCCTCACTGATGTCTTACCCGCTTCATTTCCAACGTGGGGCCAGCTGCCACATTGCCACTATCAGCACAGCCGTCCCTTCTCCAGTGTGCCCGAATGATGAACAAACCCTCCTGGGCTGTCAGCTCAGAGCTAATTGTCCTGAAGTTAGAGGAGAGTAACCCTGGAATGTAGGGATGTGCGCCAGGCGCCTCTCCTACTGGTTCAGAGAGAAATGAGTACGTGGTGAGTGATAAGGATTTCCGAACAGCCAAGCAGAGAGCCTGAGGGTGATGGTGTACCTGTCATGGGATGAATGAGATATTGTAGGCGGGGTGAGGTGGGGAGAGAATGTCCACCCTGATCCCACCTCTGAGACTTTGCTCAAACTACCCCAGCTGCTCTTTTTTTATTTTCTCTAGGAAAACAAGCTTGTCACCTATCCCCCCTCTACAATCATTAATTCCTTTTCATCTGTCAAAATTTAGCTGTAACATTACCTCCTTTGGGAAAGCCTTACACACATTTACTCCCCCAATTGGAACTAATAGTTAGCCTGTGTCCTAAAGCGCTTCTATTAGACCTCAGTAAAGCCCTTACTACCACTTGTAACTGTTTTTGCCACCTGGAAGGTTGTATCCTCTGCTAGGGCAAACTATGAATCTTGGAGTTCCCTTTGTCTTAAACACAAAAGATCAACAGACATTTCTGCTGGAAATGGGGGAAATCATGCCTTTCAGACACTGAGCTCTGGTGATGGTAAGCCATCAGGGTTTAAATGGCTATCATTTGAAGATCAAAAAGCAATACATTTTGGTGAGAATGTAGGGGAAAAGGTACCCTAACCCACGTAAACTAGTAATGTAAACTATATAGAATGTAAACTAGCACAACCCTCATGGAGCGTGGTATGGAGATATTGTAGAAATCTGAAAATAGATCTACTAGCTGTCCCACTTGTAAAAATTTACTCATATTAAATGAAATCAGCATATGAGAGTTATTTGTACATCCATGTTCATTGCAGCTCATTTCAAAATAGCTAAGATATGAAATCAACCGAGATGTCCATCAATGGATGAGTGGATAAAATAAATGTCACACGTGCATGTGCACGCGTGTGCACACACACACACACGAACACTACTCAGTCATAGAGAATGGAATATTGTTTTTGCAAAAAAATGGATGCAACTGGAAACCATTATGCTTTGTGAAATAAGCTGGTCCAAGAAAAATAAATGTTTACGTTGATCTGTGTATAAAACCACATAATCTATATGAGTGAGATTGACATTTTGAGATTTGATTATTTTTTTACTGCCTTTGTCTACACTCTTAAGGAACAGTAGGATTTTTTCTTACTTGCCATTTGTTAAATCCCTTACCTAATGGAGTTTTAACCCTATAATTATGAAGCAAACTGAAAATATGCTGTTATAAAAATAAAAAATGAAAAAGGAAGGAAGGGGGAGAGTGGGTGGGAAACATGGGCAGGAGGGAGGGTGGGGCAGGAAAGCATCACTATGTCCCTTAGTCTGTATTTGAAATATGTGAAATTTGTTCATTTCATTTTAAAATGTTTTACCAGTTTAAATGTTTTTATTTGTTTATATAGGTAAATTTAAGTTTATGTGTTTGTGTGTCTGTGTGTGTGTATGCACATGTGTGTGAAGATCCCCTGAACTCTTAAAAATCTTGTGGCTAGGATTTTGGACCTAAATGTCACTTGTATGTGCAGACTTTTTTTTTGCCGTGTTATTTAAACTTTCAGCCTCTCATCTACCTTAATAGATTTTCCTAGCTTTTTGTCTATCTTCCCTACCCTGGGCCACCCCTCTTCCCATCACATCAAATGTAATATAAACTCTATGTTGATAGGGACTGCTGTCTCTTGAATTCAACAGTAGACTCCAGGGCCCAGACCTGAGTCTGGCACATTGTAGAAACATATTACCATCAGTTAAATACACGAATTAATGACAGTTCCAAAGTAAGAACTGACATTCTTTTGTGCTCTCCTGGAGGTGAAAATAAGTCTACCCACTTTGTAGCCCCATAAGTGTAAGGTTGCCCCAGGCTAGTTCTTGCAAAGATTTCCTTCTGCTGAATTTGGCTTTAAGATTGAATTTCTGACAATAACCTTGGCCCAGTTGAAAGTGCTTACCTCTACCCGCCCCCATTCTCTTTTTTAAAGTGTGAGTCTGTATATGGAAACTTCTGAAGTTTAGAAGGGGAACTGCAAAGATGCTATGCTCCTCAGTATAGGAAGGGAGTTACACTGGGAGGAGAGGGTGTGAAATATCAGATTTCTTGGGCAGTTGGCAAGCTCAGTCAGAGGCTGGAGAAAGTTGCTGTCCCACAGGGAAGTGAACAAAACATAAAAGATTCCACCAGTTAGGCATCTGGCCTCATGTCAGCCTTAGTGTTTTAGGTGCAGGGTGGTTATTGGCTTGTGAACGTTATGGAGCTATATAACTGATATTAGGATTGTGCAGTATTAGAAAATCGGTATATGACATTTTGAAATGTTTAGAAAGAAGTAAATAAAAGGCCTGAGTCCATTTAATGACAGGTCTGGAAGGAGTTGGTGCTTTGTTTAGGTGGCAAATATGTGAATGTCTCCTTTTAATATATATTCACTTTTTTAAAAACTTGAGTTTGTATTTTAAAAAATGATTTAGCCTCTTCTAAATTGGTCTCTCCCACCCATGAACACTGGAGTGATCAAGGGGCCAGTGTGTTCTTTCCCCTATCTGGAAGCTTTCTAGAGCTTCTTGCTCTTGCTCAGCCCCATGGCATTAAGTTGCATCTACCTATATGCTCATCACTCTCATGTAGATGTATTTTGACTTTCGGCTTTTTCTAAGCTGCAGCCTGACATGTTCAGTGACTTATTTGATTCTTCTACTTGTCTATCAAATAGACACGTTAAATATAATGTGGCCTAAATAGGAGTACCTGATTGCTCTTGCATGCCTCAGCTTTTTCCTCAACCTTCTGTGACTCAGTAAAATGACACCATTTCTCCATTCAGTTGCTCAAACCAAAAGCTAAGGGTCACCCTTGATTTCTCCCCACATTCAGTTCATCAGGAAGCCCTGCTGACCTGAATTGGAAACTCTTACATTGTGCCCCATGCAGTAAACATCCGTGTACCATGCGAAAGTGTCTCCTTGTAAATATACACGTATTTTTGTGACATAGTATC